CTCAACTCGACGATCTTGCTCAGCAGCTCTCCTCTAGCTTTCTCCTCCAGGCCTGTCCCCATCAGGACAGGCTCTCCGAATTTCACCACCGTGTCCCACAGCTCCTCCTTGAAATCGTCCAATGTGGTGTCGTCGTCCACTCCTCGATTAAAATCGCTCAAGAACTCTCGCCAAGCATCCTCATCCAGAGTGCCTAGGAAGGCATCCCTGTTTTCCTCGAAGGTGTTCTTCTCCCTTCTCTCCGCACTCAGGAAGATCATTCCCATGTTGGGATTCTCGCTCGTCAGTGGCAACTCTAGATTCTTGCGGGGAGATGAGGTCAGAGGTGGCGTGGGGGTGTCTGCCCAATTTTCTCCACTCAGATCTTGCGTGGTGAACTCTTCCTCCGATGGCTTCTGCTCTGGTGTGTTTCCCACCTCCATATCCTCTCCTGCCTCACTGAGAGTCTCATCCACGCTCTCCTCCTCCGATTCTGCTTCTCTTCTCTCAAGAATCCTCCTGAATCGATCGTCTACGAGACCACTCCTTTTATCCCCAGGGGTGTCCACTGATAGGGGTGATGGTGTCAATGGACCCGTTTTCTTATACTCTGTCAGAGCCACATACAATGGGCCTGCCGCATCCAGCTCCTTTCCCTCCTGTCTCATTTCCACCTGCTCTAGTCCGTAAGGTGCCCGGTATCTCCTTGTGGCAAACACCATCTCGTCTCCTTTCAGTTCGATATGTCCGCACCGGCAACTTGTTCTCTAGACCTGCCCGCTCAAGTGTTCTCAGGCATCTCGTACCTCGAACTTCGGGGGCATCGACCCTCTCATTTTCTTGGCTTGAGTTGTCCATGAATTTATTTTTGCATCGCTGGTATGAAAATAAATTGCTGCAGAGTAGCCGATGAAGAGAGGATTCCAGCCGTCGATGAACTCCTTCTGCTGTTCTTCGGTTGCCGCTCTCGCGAAAAGGGACGGGACCACCAGGGAGCTGTTCATCCCCAGGGTCATTCTCCTCACTGTTGGAAATTCTGGAATGCTTGCTGGCAGGACCTTCTTCTCCAATATCGCCTCTAGCTCCCTTTTCACCAGCTCGAAGCTTTTCTTCCATGCGGGAATTCTCAAGATCTCTTGTCCATTTGCTTTCAGGGGATTTAGATTCCAGAACTTGGGATAGGTTTCGATGGGGCCTTCGCTCTTGCCTCCCATCCTGCACTGCAGTTGTCCTCGGAAACTGTATATCACCAACGCCGGATCCTTCACCTTTCCGAGGAGCACCGTGTTGCTCATCTGTGCCCTTAGCACCTCCTGCTGACACCAATTGAGTGTTGTCCCATCTAATATGCTTATGAGGCTCACGTGGGTCACTGAGTATCGATAAGCTGTCGCCAGAGGATCTGGAAACACGAATGTGACGGCCGGTCCATAGATACAGGTTACGACCTCCTCTAGCCCCCGGATCATCCCCATGGGGTCCATTCTCATGGCCAGGCATAGGTCCGTCAACAGAGGCATGCCTCCATTCACTTTCCTCCACACGTCTCTTGTCCTTGGGCTCTTTTCTTCACCAGTCAGGTGCCGGTTTTGCATCAGTAGGTACTGCACCAGCAGCGTCTTTAGTCCGGCAGCACATTTATACGAATAGGTGTCAATACTCGAGTGTGCTCTTCCCATCGACAGAGGCTCTCCGTACTTCATCAGTCGGTGAAATGACACCATTTCCCCGTGGGTTAGAAGCACCAATGCCAAGTACCCGTCAATCTGGAGTGTGTCCACACCCCGACTGAACATGTACGCTGGACCCGTATTGAACAGGTACCTGGGTAAACCAGGTACAGTGCCAGCAACAGACTGATGGGCATATTCAATATTTCCTGTATGAAGGCTCCAAAGATGGTCTCTTTCGCGCTGTACACTCCAGCCAGGAACTCCTTTTTCCAACAAGGACTCAAGAACTCAAGAATCTCGTGATCCCTCCTCGTCCTCAGCTCACCCCTTGCGTGCTTTCTCCAGAATCCTCCAATCGTGACTTCGTTGGCTGCTGTGACGAACCTGCCAACCGTCATTTCCCTCTTTTCGGCCACTTCCAGCTGCTCCTCAAGAAAATCCCAGATCTGCTTCACCAGAAGTGGTGCACCTTCTCTTGTCTTCTCCGTGACGTTCTCCAGCCTTGGTGTCAGGAAGGGCCACCTGCCTCTCTCTTGTGTCAGTCGATACACCATCGACTCCAGCTGCTTCTCCGCTGCGGCCACGTTCTTCCTCTCGTTGCTCGGCCCTCTAGATTTACTGGTGGAGCTTGTGATGGTCAACTCCATGCTTCGAAACCACAGACTGGCCGTCAGGTGAGTCACCACTGGATGATCATCCCCTATAATCGGACTGAGCTTGAGTTGCCTAGCGAAGTTGAATATCTCTAGCAAGAGGACCTCGTCCAATACGATGAGGATGTCAGCCAACTCGTAGAAGCCCCTCAACGCGTGGGACACATCCGCCCACGCCGCCGCCAGTTCTGATTTGCGAAGTCTCAAGTTCGTAGGTTCCAGCTCCCGATTGGGAGCTGCCATCAGAACGCGCCACCCATTGCCCTCTGCTATCAAGATCAAGATCGCATACACAAATTGCAGAGCTGGGGGCATGCTCGCGTACCCGGGGGACGTCGTGAACGCTACTTTTGTCTTGGAGCCAAATCGTGAGGCAACGTTCTCTTGTACTTCATTCATGGCCGCAAATAATGTCTGGATGGCTTCCCAGGTCTTCTTCGGTGCCGGTTCATCACCCTTGAGCTGCTCAAGAAACCCCATCGCGTGCAAGTGATCGTTCATCCCTGCAAACAGCAGTAGCTCAGGCTCGCAAGGCATCTCCAATTTTATTGCCACCACCAGGGTTAACATCTGGTTTAGCTCCGCTCCCGGCAGTGAATATATCAGAGTTTCCGGCCAAAACAACTTGGGAGACGTTACCTCAAAGTCCGATCCCGCCACGATGACCACCCTCGCAGCGGCTGGGTCTGCCCTGTCATAAACTGCCAAGGTTTTGGCCAGCTGCGTATTCCCGCAGGGTTTCCCATATCTGGGATCGTTGGCCAATCTTGCACCTTCATACGCGGCGTCTGGTAATTCCATTTCTCTCGGATCCATCAGTTTGTCCACCACCCTCAACTGTGCTGGAGTGGCCACCCTAATCCTGGCAATGCTGGTTCGGTGCTTGGGAGGCTCCACCACGAGTCCCGGACTCCCTAATGACTTGAGAGGTCTGTAGTTGATAGGTCCCATCACCGATTTTGTGGGAATCCCAGTCAGATCCGCCGTCTCCATCATTTTCGCTCTCGAGAAATGTGTCTCGTGAGCCTTCAGCCAGTCCACGCACTGGTGTCTACCCAAGTCTTCGTGCGACACCCGCTCAATACCCAAAGCTTTCGCTAACTCCTGCCTGCATTCCAGGTCTTCCAAGTCCAGTTCCTTCACCTTCTCCACATATCTCGACCTGCTGGTCTCCGCCGGCCTCTCCGGTTTCTTCTTCTCCGCCACCACCACCGAGGATATTACTGATCCCTGAGGAGTTGATGACGTTGCCTCCTCAGCCTCCATGGGCGCGGTGCCCGGCAACTTGGTCCGGCTGTTCCTCGAACTTTCTCTAGAACCGGCCATCGCACCCAAGCGACTGGGCAAAGCCCTCGGGTTGAAGAAGGGTGGATTTGGGGGTGGTCCGAATGTGACCTGTGCCGTCTCTAGCAACTCTGCCTTCAATGCGTTTATTTGCCTTTGGAGGACATCATTTAACCACTCCACCCCTCTGGGCCTGTCAAAGTGAATCCCATCCGAGGATGCATCGTCAGGGAAAGCAGATAGCTCCATTTGCTCGGCCACATCCAACAACCCAACGGGGAGGACACTTCTTCGGTTTATCTGCCTGATTATTTTGTTCAGGTTTCGCATTTTTGTGTTCATCTCCATTGCATGTTGGTCCGCTTTCATGTTGTAAGGGATGGTGCACACCGTAAGAATAGCCGGATCCATTTGAATCCGCAATCCCCAAGAATGCAGCTCATCTTGTCGTGCAGCCTCGTCACCTTCCTTGCTTCCCCCCTGGACACGTCATTCGTCCCGACCATCTCAGTCACCGTGTATACTCTTGCCATCCCTAGCATCTCAAGTGTTGCTAACATCTGTGGCGTCGCAGGTCCAGCGAAGCTCAAGATCCCCGTTTGCCAATGGGACTGGATCCGGGTCAGCACCCGCAACAAGCTGTCCCCTATGATCAGGTGGACCGCCCTCTCGGACACGTGGCTGCGTGAGGTATTCCACCCAAGCCGCGTCATGGAAGCAATCTCTTCTGTCTCTCTGCGCCGTGCTCCAGTCCATCCGATTGTGCCTGTGGTATCTACCTTCCGTATTCTTCTTGTAACTTGAGATCACCACACTCCTGACAGGTTGCTCTCCCCACGTCGAGGGTAGCTCCGCTCTTGCTGGACTCTAGCGACTCCTTAGCTGTAGCCGCTCATGCAAATCTTTCAGTCGTGACGAGCTACCACTCACCTGACTACTACCCGGGGTCGAACTTGGCGTATATCCAGGCAGCGCGACGTCCATCAACGGGCGTATTACTTGTGTCTCTAGACCACGCAGGGAGGACGCTGATTCAGTCGGTATCCACACTTCCAACCCTTCTCTCATATGTTCTTGAGCCGCGCGATCGAGGTTAAATCGTCCCTTCGACCTAGGAGCTTCATCCACCTCCATACGTGACTCTGGTCTTGAGCCGGTCACCACCCGCTCTTTGGGCCTAGCCCCTTTCTGCATGTCGAGCTCGCGTTGTCGTTGCTGGATCCTTTCAAGCTCGGACTTCAGCTGCTCGCAATTCGCGGCATTCTCTCGCACCCTTTCTGCCTGTAGCTGTTCAGCTCTCAACATGTCCAGTTCCCTCCGCGCTTGATCCCTCTCAAGTTTCGCCTGATCTCTCTCGAGCTTCGCTTGATCCCGGTCGAGGTTTGCCTTGTTCCTCTCCCGCTGAGTCCTCTCAAGCTCTCTCTTCACGATACTGATGTCCGGATACGCTTCCCCCGTTTGCTGCGCCCGTGACATCAATAGTGCCTTGCTCGTGCTCTGGCCCGTGGACCTGACTGATGGTCTGACCGGCAGTGGGAACTCCCATGCACCATACTCAGTATTGTTACTCAAGCCAGGGTTCCTTGCCAAGTCGAATCCCCTTATCACTCCATCCACGTTCCAGGACAGCCACCTGGTTTGCTCTTGATTGGATATTCCATCGGTGGTGTAGCCCACCATCAAAACCGCTTCTGTCGCAGACTCCCGGCACTCGCCCTGTTCCTCCAACTGGAGGATGGCATTCAACATCACTGCCCTTCTCTCATCCACTTGAGTATAATCCAGGTCCCTCAGACGTCTGTACAACTCGTCAAGCGTGGGTTTTTTCAAAGCCGATGGCATGGACTTCCAGAATCGATCTGCCATTTCCGTAATTTCCAAGTGATTTTGAGTATTAGCAACTTGAGTTTTACCTGAGCAACTTGAGTTTACCTTAGCAACTTGAGTTTACTTCTTGAGATGTCGTTCAATTTGCATTCTCTTTCTTCAATTGAATACAGTTGGGTAGTCAATTTGACTTCACCGAATCAATCTGAAAATAACATCCGATTTTTAGACTAACAGGCTGTGTTCCTAACCTAAAAACCCCCCTTCACTACTATAATTAAAACCCTTTCCTTTCCGTCCTACGAAAATAATTCAATTGGAAATCTTCTAAAAACATGCAGATTCATTTTATGTTTTAGCACCATCAATCATTTAAAATATTAATTGTCATGCCAATCACCTCTAAGAATCTTTACCTGTTTTGTACCCCCACACCTAACTCGAGATTCTTCCCTCATGCCCAACTGGAGACCCCCGCGTACCCGACTCAGGCGATGCTCAAGTAGTGTTTCTTGTGAAGATGCACCATTATGTCAGTTTCTGCGAAGACCACGTGTAGGATAGCGTACAATTCCCTTGGGATCAATTTCCCCCTGTTTGGGTCATACACCGGCATTGAGACCTCCGTTATCCCTCTTTCAATCATGAAGTCTCGTAGTCTCGTTAGTGCCAACATCACGTGTTCAGGATCGATCGTGTTCCTGTCATTGACCCTCGTCACTAGGAAGTACAGGTATTTGCCCGGGACTTGTGCTACTGATGGTGGAAGCGCGGCCATTCCTTCCAGTCCTGGTCTCTGTCTAAAAAGAAACTCCACGTTCTGGTACTCTCTCTTGAAGTCAGCTTCCAGTCTTGATTTGAAACTCATGTCCACCGTGATACAGATTGCGCTAGTCCTGTCTGACAGAATGAAGTCACTATCCGTTATCAGGATATTTTCTGAGTATTCGTTTGGTATTTCAAATTTCGTTTTGAAATTCCGTCCTATGGTAGGCTCGGCCTCCTCCCCTTCCAGTTCCAGTCCGCACTTTTCTCTCACTTCTCTGAGTTTCTTTATCATCAAATTTTTGGTGTGGGTAAGTCCTACCCCACTCCCCGGACAAAAATATTTATCGACGTCCCCGTCGATGATGCTGGGTCTGAATTATCTGGCGGAATGTCGAGCGGGCTGTCTGTTGCCGTCCAGCCGAAAAGAGGATCCTCCGTTTTCATGTACTTCCCCGCTGATATGTCAACTTGCTGTATGCTCTGTCCTTCCTCGCTTCCGTTCTTGACATCGCGCATCCATTCTAATATCCTCAGGTTCGTATTCTCTCTCCTCTCTATCTCGCTCTGTTCTAAATCCGTCTCCCGCTCCGGCGTCGAGTAGTCTTCCTGTGAGTAGTGTTCATTATCATTGATGATCTGCCATTCACCATCTGCCGTCAGCTCGCCCACACTTATTAGTTCTTTGCCTAGGACATCGGGTTGTATATTGTCGATCAGGAAGTCGTCCCCATACCTGTTGTACCTCATGCCTGTGCGTTTGCGATTGCCACTCCTTGTCCCCGCTGGTATTGACAAGTCTGGTTCTGTCGACTTCGGCACCTCACCTTGCTCCGGATCGTTCCAATCTTCTTCAACAAAAGATTCCGCTTCAGAGTCCGCGTCTATTTTTTCATTGTCATCCAAACTCAAGTTCTCATTGCCATCATTCTTATCTCTGGTGCCTTTTTCGTTCACTTCACATGGTGGTTCCACCAGTAGGTACTCTAGTCCCTCCATGTCCTTTGGTATACACCAGTCCTCTGGGGATGGGACATGAGGCTTTAGTTTCTCATAATGTGCTGCTCGCCCAGTACTCAAGCGGTAGAACCGTCCTTGTTGATGTACTTCAGTTATCATGAATGGTCCTCTCCATTTCTTGAGTAGTTTCTTCGTCCCTTTGGGCGGTATCACATTCTGGAAAACCCACACATACTGGCCCACTTCATATGGCTTCGCCTGTAATATCTTTTCATCATATTTCTTATTTGTCTCATTTGTGCCTGCGCAGTGCTCCTCCTGCATAGCTCGTTTATTTCCTGCTGTCTCCTGATCGCTTCTTTCACCCAAGCTTGTGGCGACGTCCTCCTCCCTTCATACTCCGGGTAAAAGAACGTCAGGGGCATCGCTCTCTCTTTGCCTGTCAACATCATGAATGGACTGATTCCCGTCGTTGAGTGTTGAGTACTGTTGTATGCCCCTACGACTTGCGGCAGATACTTATCCCAGTCCGTCATGTATCTAGAGCAGTATACCCTCAGCATGTTCACCAACGTTCTATTCTGTCTCTCCACCAGCCCGTTGGTCTGAGGATGGTAAGTCGTTGAGTGTGCTTGAGCAATGTGTGACCTCTTCATTAATTCCTTAGTCAAGTCCCCCACAAAGGCCTTGCCGTTGTCTGACTGAAAAGTCATTGGACAACCATACCTTGATATCCAATGGGTTATCAAGTGGTCACAAGTCTCCTCTGCCGAAGTTGTTTGACACGGCACCGCTTCTGCCAGCTTTGTGAAGTGATCATTTATAACCAGTATCTGGTTATACCCCGACTCCGTCATACAGATCTTCTGATGGTCTATTTGCACCACTTCATTAAATTCCGAGCTTTCCACCGACTTGAGTGGGAATTTCATCTTCCTTGGGTCTTTCACTTGCAAGCATGCCAAGCATGCATTCACCCACCTCTCACAGGCTTTCCTCAATCCTGGCCAATCAAACCTGCGAAGTATCCTTTGTTGCACCTTGTCTATCCCCTGGTGCCCCATTTGGTCATGTGATCTGAACAGCACCTCTGTCTGGTACAATTGTGGTAATATGATGAGGTTGTGTTTGTGTAGTATCTTGTCCTCGTCTTTTCTCTTGCACGCTACCACCCCGTCAGCTGTGTGATAGAGTAAATCTTTCTTCTCTTTGTAGAACTGGCTCAAGATCTTGTAGCTGTCTTCTTCAAGTTCCCCTTTCTCCTTGGACCCCATTCGGATCCATTTGGAGAGATTGCTTGTCATCTTGTCATTCTTCTGGGCTCTTATCAGGTCCGACAGCCTATATCTTGCCTTGACAAGTTCCTTCAGCGCCATAATCTGCCCATTCATCTCCCCAGGGTTGTGGACGTCGTCCTTCAGCTTCACGCATACTATCCTCCTTGCTACCTTCATGTCATCTTCTGGCACCAGATTTGTTCTCACATTTGAACTGCATGATAGTTCCCTGAAGGGTTTCCTCGAAACTGCAATCCTTTCAAGTTCTTCACCACCTCGTATTTCCTGCACGTCCAAGTTGAAGGTTCCTGAGGACGGATCTGTTTGTAATTCCCTGTCGTGGTGTCTGATCTTTTCTTCTGCCAATATCATGCAGAGACTATCTTGATTGTCACTGCTCGCTTCCGAGTCCTCATCCCACATTTCACACTCCTCGGACAAATTTTCTCCTTCAGTGTTTTCTTCTTCCGTGGACGTGGACCGCTCCCCGGACTCTTGACCTAGTCCCAGGTATTCAGCTTCTTCCTTGAACTCCACTCTCTTTCTCCTAACTCTAGTCTGTTCAAATAATTCGGCTGGGATCCTTTCAACCAGTGACTGCACCACTTCCTTCCCATCAAGGTTAGTCACCTTCGAGGTATTTCCATCACTAGCTGTCCCGCTCTTTCGCAGTATTGTGACCTCAGGTTCCTCCTTACAGTTTTCTTGAATCACTGGCTTATCATCTGCTAGTTTCTCGAGTAACCTCTTTAAGTCATCGTCTATTTGTGCTTCCCCCGTCTCTACCTGGTTGAGGTCATAGCCTTTTGCTTTGAGCGTCTCCATCACGATCTTTGACTTGAGCATTATTCCTATCGGCATCCCTCGGTTCTTTTTCAAAATTGTTTTTTTCATGGTATCTTTTGGTAACTCGGGGTGATCTTCTATTGGTTTGCCTGATTTGTCCAACCATCTCGTGAGAGGAAGACTGTCATACGTTTCCTTGTCCATGAAGAAGAAGCCATCCTTGATCTCAGGTCTATCTGCCTCTCTCTGTTCTTGTCTCTCGTAAAACTCCGTCTTCTTGCTCAAGCTGTCAGCATTTTGATGTTTGTCTCGTGTTCTATGCTCAATTATCATATTGTATCCGTCCAGGCGAACTATCCACCTCCCAATGTAACTTTGGTCCATTGAGTACGTCTTCAGCCAGCTTAGTGCCCTGTTGTCGACTCGCAACTTGAATGGCTCGTTGCCTAGGTATGCCCTATATTTCTCGACAAAGGTAACCACCGCGAACATCTCTGCTTTCGGTGCTCCGTACTTCATTTCCGTGTCACTTAGTACTTTGCTCCCGTACGCTATTGGTCTCAAGACTGTCTTCCCATTCCACTCTTGTTCCTGGTGGAGAATTCCAGATATCGCTACTGCCGACGCGTCCGTATCTAGTACGTACATCCCCTTCTCTGTTGGCATCCCTAGTACTGGTGCCTCGCACAACTCTTTCTTTATTCTCTGGAATGACTCTTCCGCTGCGTTGTTCCACGTGAACTTCTTGCCTTTGTGCCTCATTAACTGTTGCATCGGATAAACCTTGTCTGCATATACTTTGACGAATTCTCTGTAGTAATTTGCAAAGCCCAGAAAGCTCATCAATTGGTGTTCCGTTTTCGGCGATTTCCAAGTTAGAACTGGTTCTACTGCGTCTGGATCTGGTCTGATGCAGTGTTTGTCCACCATCCTGCCCAAGTATTTTACCGAGTCCTTCAGTATCTCACACTTGGACGGTTTGCACTTCAGCCCCGACCTCTTCATGCACGCAAATACTTCGTCAAGTCTCTCAATGTGGTCCTCCAGTGTGGGTGTCGCTATTACCACGTCATCCACGTAGCACATTACCAGATTGCCGTACTTTTTCGTCACGCCTATCAGCGCGTGTGCCATCAGCCGCTGAAACGTGGCAGTGGCATTGCATAGTCCAAACGGCATCCGTTTCCATTGAAACAGACCCAACTCGCAGGCAAACCCTGTCTTGTCCCTGTCCTGTTTCCTGAGTGGTACCTGCCAAAAGGCCGAGCCTAAATCAAGAGTCGTAAAAAATCTTGCATCACCTAACTTCGAGAGACTCTCATCAATCCTAGGTATGGGATAGGCATCCTTCACCGTGACGGAGTTCAGGTATCGAAAATCACAACAAAACCTCAACTGGTCGCCTTTCTTTTTGGCCATCACTACTCCACACGCCTACGGTGATTTGGATGGTTCTATCATGTCATACTCTAGTAGCGTCTCAATCTCCTTTCTACACGCATCCGATTTGTGTGGGGTCATGCGCCTCGCCCCCTCCCTGTGCGGTATTGCGTTTTCCTCAAGTTCTATTTCATGCTCAACAAAATAACAACACCCGATGTCTGCTTTATGTCTTGAAAAAACGTCTTCGTTCCGTTCTAATACGTCCTTGATGGCTTCGAGCTGTTCGTCCGTTATCTTGCCTCTTAAATGTTCAATTTCCGGTAGGACCGGTTTATCACTCTGCATTTCATCTAGTGTGGGCCGTTCCGGAAAATTCGAACAGTTCGATAGCCCATCGTCTGTCTCTGACTTAAGTGACTTCACAAGACCTGATGAACTTTTTATTTTATTCAATCGTCTCAAGATATAAATTTTGTCCCTATGATTGGGACAATCAACAACTTCATTTTGTTTATGGTTTTCAGTCATTTCATATCGAGTTTTTACAGGTAAAGCATATCCCAGTTTCCTTCCCCTCTGTATCGTGATTGGCATGTCAAGGGTATTCAACAAGACACTCACGCAGAGGCCGCTCTTCGTGATCGAGAAGGATCTTCCTAAAACAGCAGCACTTTGACTATTTGGATTTGGGACTATGCATACCTCCTTGTTGTCACTTAGTTCATTGTAATTTTTCATTCGTAAGCTTACGATTGCCGCCTCGTTCGCCTTTAACCTCACCCTCCTACTCAAGAATACCGTTGCTTTAGTTTCATTTGCCATTATTAAATTTACCGGTTTGATTGCGTACCTCCTATCCGGGTTCCGTATCCTGAACATTGCATTGTTTAGTTCAATCGCTACATCAAAGTTCCTGATGAAGTCTCTGCCTAAAATGAATTGGTCAGACTCATCTAGGTTTTCTACTACAAGAAAGCTCATCCACAGGTTACGTTCCCCTAGATTGAGGGCTATTATCGGCGTTCTGCCTAACACGCGCAGAAGCCCTTTGTTTGCAGCTGACAACCGTATTCTCGAATCTATCAAATCATCTTTGTTGAAGCCCTTTCGTTCCCAAATTTCGATTGGTATGACACTCAAGACTGCTCCCGTATCAAGTAACCCACGTAACTGAGTCTTTTTACCACTTATGTCTAGCACATGTGCTGTCACATCTGCCTCTGTCCCGATGTGCATTGCATCTTCTTCAAGCATGGCGCAGTGTCCAATCGATCTCACTTTCAACTCTTCTTTTCCCACGTAGATTTGCCCAATTAGGTCTTCATCACATGTTATCATTGTTTTCGTATAGATGTTGATTCCATCTATATTTAGCATCACTTCATGTGGACCATAAGCCTCTGTGTACCTGTTATCAACACGTACCGACTTGCTACCCCCTCTCGTGAGTAGTGCCCTCAATGCTCTAGAAGTCGTCTGTGGGCTTATGCAACTCAAGTAATCTGCGTACACATCAATGTGCATTATTGTCTGATCACTAGGTTCGTTCAAGTTTCTCGTTACTTCATGGCCGCCCACAGTGATTATTGACATTATTCTTGCCCCAATCTTCGTTATGCCAAATGGCTTTCCTGTAACCATCTTTACGGTGTTACAGTTTCCATTTCTTGTCGACCCCTAGGCAGCTTCTGGTATTGTTTGTGAGCAACTTAATGCTTCGTTCATTTTCTGTCTTTCGATTTCTTGCTTCAGCCGTTGTTCTATTTCTTTCGCTGCCAGGTCCTGTTTCACTTTGTTGATAGCTTCCGCTGCCGCCTTCTCATAATTTATTTCTAGGTCGTTCTTTGCCGTGGCCTCTATTGCACTATTACATTGTGTTACAGCCTTCACTGTTTTTGTTGGTAGCTCCGCACTTGGCCTTTCATGGTTTTTCGTCTCAAATTCACCTTTACCTTTTCTCTGGTTCTGTACCGCTGCTAGCGCCAACTTGTGTTTTGGATGACTCTGATTCTTAACCGCCTCCCAAAACAACGGACAGTCCATCCTGAAGTGCCCCTCTTGGTTGCAGAAGAAGCATCATGCACCTATTTTGATGATCAAGCCACTATAGAACTCGTGTTCTTCCATCTGGCTCATATCTTCCTCATCGGGTGCATATCCCAAACTCTTCATACCCTGTTTGTATGTCGTGCAATCCGCCACATGATGATCAGCTGATCCGCAGTTAGCGCATGATCTGCGTTTGTCCATGTCATCTCTTTGCTTGTACCATGACGACCTTTGTGGCTGACTCCCCCCCTCCCCCCTGTGTATTCCTGTTGTCTGAGTACGAGTATTTCTTGGGTTTCATCAGCATGTACTCTCTTGACTTCTGCCTCATCTCTTCTGGAGTTGGTGCACTGTCTTTCGACAATGTATAGTATGTTGCTAACATCGTTCTCAAGTCATCACTCTTTACCCCATCAATGAACTTTGAGGCGATGCTGAAGTTCCTTCGATTGGTAGATTCTTCCGGGTCACTCCTTCTTCTCAAGCTCTCAAGATCATCTAGGAACCTGTCTATCGATTCATCGTCCCTTTGTCTTCTCTTTTCAATTCACATTATCGCTTGATGACCCTTCATGCCTGAGCCGAATCGATTTAACAAAATTTCAAAGATTTTGTCCGCTGTATCGCGTTCCTCTTCTTTCTTCGCAACCACGCATTTCAATGCTGTGCCTTCCAGATTGCTCAGTATCGCCGTGCATGCTTGTCTCTCATCGTTCAAGTTGTCTTGTTCCAAGTGCAACCTCATGACTTCTACCCAAGTGTCAATGCATCCATCTGAATCGTCTTTGAATTCTTTTGGTTTCTTGAAAGTTTTTCTGGACTTGTTGCTTCCTCTGTCGCTCGAATCGGTGTTCCTTGTAGCGAAGGCCTCTAGTGTCCTGTTCATCATTTCCCAGGTGCTTGCCCATGTCATCGCATCCGGTCCCACGTTGTTCTGATTCGTGGAGTCTCCTGGACCACTAGTTGTGTTCGCTGTTCCATTTTTTATAATAGCCCTGGCCCTGCTTCATTTCTAGCGTGTCTTTTCTGATGTTCTTGTCTCGCTCTCTATCAGTGGTTTCTACTTTGTCAGACATCTGCTGAAGCTTTTCCTCAATTGCTCTTGCTAGATGGAAATAGTTGTCCAGGTACTCATGTTTGTTGTTTCTCATTTCCTTCCTTATCAAATTTCTATCGACTTCGCTGTGCTTCAGTTTCTCATCTATCTGATCTAGCTTCGCCATCAAATCACCTAGCTCAAGAGTAGCTGTTCCATGGTCAGTTGTTGTCCTGTTGTTGGTTGCTGTTCCCGGTCTAAACTGGTCTTCGTTTTGGTCGGTGTCTGTCGTTCTCGTGGAAACTGTTCCGAATGTTTTGCCTTTCTCGGTTTTCGTCTCCTCCACTGCTGCGTCCTTCGATCTCATTCCGACCATCATCGCTAATCTTTCAGTAAAAGACGTTCTCTTCTGAGACTCATTCTTCACCGTTTCTGGCGTGTTGTCTGTTGTGTCTTCCACGTTGTCTGTCGGTGAGAACTCCATGGGCTTCGGATTAGGTTCTTCCGCATTGGGCATCGGAGTTGACTCTGTCGTTTTCTTTCCCACTTTATCCACACTTTGATCCGGTGTCTCTAGATCAATCTCGATGGTGGGTTCTACTCGTTCCCCTTCCGTGCCCTCCTTTGCTCTGTTCTCCGTAGTACTCCTCGTGTTGACCATACTAACTGAAAAGTTCATCTTTGTTACCTTCGGACCCATTGATGTTGTTTTACGTAGCGACGAATTATACTTTGTTCTCGCCTCGGTAGATCTTTTTTCAGCTACCGGTACCCTGCTCCGCCTCATTATTTACAATTGTTCCTATTTACAGTATTACTATCTACAAAATTCTACTCTAAGGTTAAAACCTCTTTTGACAAAATTTTATAAAAAGAAATTGACAATTTGTTAAAAACAACTTTTCCAAAGCTCTTGAAAATTCTATATGTTAGGATTGGATAGAGAATTTGATTTTACAATTGGTTACTTCACCCTGACTTAGTACTCTTTTAGTACCCCCCTTCTTTATGCTGTTCCAAGACTTTCTCTCTACCGTCTCAAGACTATTCAGTGCTGTCCCAGTACTTCTTGTTAGTGTCCCAAGACTAATGTCCCAAGACCAATGTCCCCAGACTAGTGTCCCAAGACCGCTGTCCCAAGACCAATGTCCCAAGACTAGTGTCCCAAGACTAATGTCCCAAGACCACTGTCCCAAGACCAATGGCCCAAGACCAATGTCCCAAGACCACTGTCCCAAGACCAATGTCCCAAGACCACTGTCCCAAGACCAATGGCCCAAGACCAATGTCCCAAGACCACTGTCCCAAGACCAATGTCCCAAGACCACTGTCCCAAGACCACTGTCCCAAGACCACTGTCCCAAGACCAATGGCCCAAGACCAATGTCCCAAGACCACTGTCCCAAGACCAATGTCCCAAGACCACTGTCCCAAGACCACTGTCCCAAGACCACTGTCCCAAGACCAATGTCCCAAGACCACTGTCCCAAGACCAATGTCCCAAGACCACTGTCCCAAGACCAATGGCCCAAGACCA